AGACAAACGGCTATAAAAAAATTCTTTGTGTCAAACTGGATTGTCAAACCAGTATCTAGTTCATAACTGGGGGGACCAAAGTCTTGATTTTCCTGCCCCCAGAACAGACCACAATCTCTTTCTACATGGTCCTTAACATTCTTCTGTTGTGGAAAATGTAACAGTTATTGAAAAGCAACATTATCTGAGCAAACTGGGAAAGGGATGATTGCTCTGCTGCTGGGATGGGAAGAACAGGAACCTAAAGACTGAATTCATATTTCTGCATTTTGAAAAGAAAAAAAAAAGTCCAAGTTACAAAACAGTGTGTTTAAGTGCTCTAGCTTTTCCTGTGCCTCTAAACTGGATGGTTAATAGTGCTCATATGGACTGAAATTTGAGGTGTTCATTTACTGCAAATCTGGTGTGATATGTTGTGTGGTCTCCTCCTTATATTTACTGTAAGTTATACTTTAACAAAAAAAAAGAAAAGAAAAGAAAAAGCTTACTGAAGAGAATGTGCAGATCAACTGTAGATCTAAAGCTTTCCCTGAAGTTTCAGTAAATCCATTCTACTCTACTGTTATTCGGTGTAGCTGTCTTGTTTTCCCTGAAAAAAGGGGGACAGGGTGTAACTTCACCATTGTGGAATTAAAAGCAACACACAGTTAAGTAGTAAATCTGCATCATTGGAACTGAATTTGTGGGTGAAAATTCTGTAACTGTTTTAGATCATCTGAGCCTATATATAATATTAGGGTCACTACAGTGTGGTCCTCTTCACAAGAACTTGAACAAAAATACTGCACACTTGGATTAAATATGTACATATATCAACAATAATGAACATATAAATCTTGTTGATAACATTCCATTTCTTAATTTAAATTGTAGCTATGTCATTGAAAATATTTTAATGTAATTATCTACCTTTGCAATGCCTGTAATAAGTTTTAAAAATTTGTACACATCAAATGTATATTTTTGGTTTGGCATAAGCTACTACTGTGTAACTTCTCCTGACATTTATTTGTAGAATATATTCCTATGGAAATGAAGGCAACTTTCTCAATGTGTAAATAACACCTTTTTACCTGCTGAAACTGCAGTTTATCCTGCAGTGGTCACTACTTTTCCTGACCAGTGAACATGAGGTTAACTTGTCCTAACCATGCTTCAAGGAAGTAAAAGAGCCGATAGTTCTGCTTGTAGAGTGAACAAGCATTGAGCAAAAAGGAAGCTGATTCCAGCTGAAGGTTTTTACAGTGATGTGCATGTTCTGCAGCCATGGTTAATAGCGTTCTGCTTTTCAGAGCTCAGTGAACCACACTGAGTGACTTCAGAAATTATGGTCAATATTTGTGGAAATTTAAGAAATTGGGAGATTATATAAACGGCTTTTGTGAAATGATTGAACAGTACTGTAAAATGCATATCCCTGTACAAAATTAAAACTCATTAAACTTTTCAGTCTTACATTTGACAGTGTCTTTTGTATTGCTAGTTTTGTGGCTGCTGTTTCACACACAGTGAAATCAGTGTGAAGATGAATTGTTAAAACGCCTATGCATCAGGAAGGATTCTGCCTTTCTTTTAACATTACCCATGCATCAGCTAACTAAGGAAGGTTTTAATGCATTATTAGCTGTGTCTTTAACTACTGAATTCCATAGCATCGCTTCTTGAGATGTGTGACTTTGTAAAGGAAGCTCTAACAAGCTGCAATAATAGAGGATTTAAGAAACTTTGAGCATGGAGCCCTTCTATCAGAAACGAGCAGCTGCACCCTCATACTTCAAAGGAAGGCTACACTACACAAGGCTACACAGCTTCCATGTCTTCATGTCTGTCTGAGCTAGTGCACCATTTTAATTGAATCAGCTGATTGTCCATGTATTTAGGAAACAGTGTTTTTAAGAGGAAAATACTATTTTTACTTCCAGGGCAGTGTTTTATTAAGTCATTCATCCACTGCTTAGATGTATGTTTCTTTGCTAAAGCTGAGTAGTTGTCAAATATAAAATCATCTGATATGGCTATTTGGGCAGGCTGTTCAGCGTTACTTGGTTAAGCTTAAAATTGGTGTTTCATCATTGTCTGTAACAAAAATGTTAGCTCTCTTTGTGGGTGTAGTATTTCTCACAATTAAGTTAGCACAATATGACTAATGGCAGCCTCAGAGGGGAGGCGGAATCTGTTTCTGTTGAACAAAGTATGTTCTAGTATGCCTGTAATGAAACAACTCTTGTAGAACAGGGCAAGTATTTGCAATTTTAAAAGCTGCAAACCCTTTAGAGCAATTTAGCGTTGCCCCACATGTCAAAGTGGGTCTTCCAACAAAAACTGCTTCAAAACTCATCACCACTACCATCTCCAGTGCCAGCTTCTTGCTTCTCTAGAACAACTTGCACCAGGCTTGTGTCTCAACCTGTGTCTCTCCAGCCGTGCACTCGTGGCCATGAGCTGCTCTTAGTGGTGTGGCAGCCAGCTGAGGAACTGCTTGGGTGGCAGCAGAGGGATGGCTGTGAGCAGCTGTGGTACCTGTGTCATGCTGTGGCCGCACCTGCGCTTGGTCATGTATTTCCTCTCTACATGTTTGCATGCAAAAGTCACTGGATTGTCTCATGCTGCACTGTCTCAACATATTGCTATGCTCTTTAGTGACTTCTTCAACCAGGACATGTAGAAAGTAAGCTTTAAAAATACCTATTTTTCTAGTCATTTGATACTGATAACGTTCTCATTCTGTCAGACTAACTTCTGCTGGTCAAATCAACACAGTGATAGGATTCTCCTATGACAGCACTTCTTTTTAATGCATGTTTTGGGGTTGATTCTTACCCCAGGTAAAGAGAGTTGTAAAAATAATTAGGGTTTGGAAACCATTAAATTGCTGGTGTTTTTTTTTCCATTCCCAAGGTTTTTTCCTGGTTTCTGGAGATGTGCCTAGGGAACGCTCTGCTCTAGACCTGTGGATATCCGTAGAGCCCCTCTGACAAGTGAATACAAAGTCTACTGAGACAGGGCTGTGAATTCTGCAGACCAGACGGATGACTTTTCTTTGGTAAGTACTGCTTGTAGACACTTCAGTTATACAACGCACTTGAAAATTTGAGATTGGGGTTGTCACTTTTTCTTTAGATAATAGCAAAGACAGTATGAGCAATTAATATGATCAGTGCCAGAAGTTAATGTCCTATGTGATGGGGTCAGTGAAGAGAAATTGAATAATATGCTTCATAGTAGTAGTAGCAACCTGGGTTTTAAGCTCAAAGCAGTACAAAGCAAGACCTTGTCTGTCATCTGTAATAATTTAAGAGCTCTAATAGGAAGAGAGCTGTTTACTGTGAATGCAAAACTAACCCTCCCTCCTCCCTCACACATAAGTCAAATTAGTGAACAAAGAAATCCCATGCATTTTATGTGAGAGGTTGATTTCATGTAAAAGCTTTTATACATAAGAGTTTGTTTCAGATTGTGTTTGCATCTTGCTCTCTTTTTCTGGAGAGCTTGCATTTGCAGGTATTGGTCACTCAAAGAGTAGGAAGTCTCAGGTCAAAAGCATTTAACAACCAAGCTGCCAAAAACAACTGGAAATCTGCAACCAGTGACACGGTTATTCCAGCTCAGAGTTGTTTTGTTAAGCTGAGGGGCTGGGTGTGTGATAGAGCTGTTTGTGCTGAGATGGCAGCTGAATTGCACAGCTAGATATAAAGTACCAGAGCCTAGTCCAAAGAGGAGAAAACATGGGACCAAGGTATTTTTGGCAAGGATGAGGCTACTAGATGAATGAAATCCTACATAAGCCTCTGTTTGTTTCACTGCCTCTCCCATGACTCTCTCTCACTTGTGGCTGTTTGCCTTAATCTCAGGTTGTGTTGTGTAATTCAGCTGTCCTCCCCACACTTACAAATCTGGTTTTCTTGTAGTGATTAATGCTGAAATGCAGCCCAATGCTTAGGGATGATAAGATGGGTAACACTTATGTATGCTCTGTTCTGATTCTTTCCAGTCTGTCTTTCCAAAAAGCAGGTGCCAATGAGAAGCTGAGCCCCTAGCAAAATTTAAAAAACCCCACACCTTAACCAAACAACCTGAAAAATTCTTAAATGAAAACAAAATTGTAAGAGTGCTTAAGGGGGTGGGGGAAGGAGACAACTTGCTGAAAGTATTTTAGTCAATGCTTTATCTTGGAGCAACACCATTTTTAGAAAGCCCAGAAGACTGCCATCGAACATTTCTTTCCTAGATTGTCCTGGAAATAATTTTATTCCTCTAAGTGCTTTTAGACTGTAGTTGCCAAAGACAGCAAATCCTTACTGAGCAATGAAATGCTTTTATTACAAAATTTATCTGGATTTTTACATAACATGATCGCTGACACTGCATGTTGATTTACATTCACAAGCAAAAGTAAACTTGCAAAAAATACATATTATAATTAATTCTAAAAAGAGAAGAAAAAATTCTGCTGCAAAGTTAAAACAAGCATTCATTTTAAAGGACTAATGCTGATGAAGTATTTCTAAGCTGCAAAATCTAGGAAGTTACAACCTAGGCTTGAAAATACTGTTTGGAATTTAATGTCAAAAGCAAATCATGCAGTATAACAAATGCAGCGAGATGTTACATCCCTACTGAGCTAACCAATGCTGGGGCTAAAACGTGGTTCTGCACGCTCTGTGTTAATGCCTGTTAAATATACCATCAAGGCATGTGGTCACAGCTCTTGAATTGAATCTGCTGCAATGGATTTGAGTGGCCCTCGATGTCTCCCATGTGTTTATGTGGCACAATGATGATCAGAGAGCACATTTGCCCTGGTAAAGACAGCAGCAGGAGTCCGCTTCTGCTGGACAAAGTATGTTTTGGTACGTCTATACTGAAAACAAGGAGTAAGATGACTGATGCACACCAGTAAGAACCGTGAAGGACAGTGGACTGAGATGGCAGTCTTCAATTTCTGAAGCTGTGCAGGTTTCAAATGGTCAAAATTTGATCCAGCTTCATTTGTCCCGCCACTATGACTCATTTTCATCAATCTCTATGGGGCTTTTGCCTTGGGAAGGAAACGAGGAAGAGGAAATGCCATTCTCAGGTATGGGGTGCCGTGATGGCAGGCATCTTTCCTGTAGGATTGGCACTTCAGCCAAGTGTAAGCGAGTCTCAAAATAATCCTCAGCCTGCCCTTCTTGAACCTCTGCTAAGATCTGGTAGTCCCCAAAACAAATAATACACTTCCATGGCAAGTCAGTTTTGTTTAAGTAACCCAGTTCTGTTTGGTCCACCATCAGTTTTGTTTTCTTGCTCATGTTCTTTATCTCAAAACAAAATTCTGAGCTGTTCAGTTTTCTGTAAAATTGCAGTGAAAATTGAATCCGAGAAACACGACTATCCATTAAGTTATAACGGCAGACATTAGAATCACGGCCAAACTTGGCCATCTCATCTGCCCTGACCTGTTCTCGCTCACAGAAATTCAAGCAACGAAACATCATCTTGTCTTCTTGGCAAGGATGGTAAAAGGTCATGTGGAGACATGCTACTTGTGTTTCAGTTTCAACTTCTTCAAAAGAAGTCATCATGAATTAAGTCCTCAGAACTATGAGAAAGAAGTAAAATCACAGCATGAAATCACTTTAGTACCAAAAAAATAGCTTCAGTGTGGCATTAAAATACTTCATATACTATTGTATAGTGACTGTATACAATTTATAGCAAATTTATAGCTGACAGTAAATGTAATGAGACCACTGGAATGAAGAAGTGGGAGCTGAGCATACTTGGTCCATGACAACCATCCTTTCCCACCACTTTGCCCAGGACTCGTTAGGTGACCACAGATAGATGACACATTGCTCCATGCTGAACTCCTCCCAGCAGTCAACCTCTCGTCTGTTGCAATGGCTGCCTAACACTTCAGAACTCTGAAAAACACCCATGACTCTGAATTGCTGCTGACCAGTTCTTCATGAGGATCTCACAGGCAGATTTATCTTTGGAATAAATATGTCACTTAGCAGTAACAGTAACATTCACTTTATGGACTTTAAATGGAGCATGAAGTATTGCTGTCTGGGCTGTGTGCTGTTTTACAGTGTATTCCTTTGACTAGAAGGTATCAGACAACTTTTACAATTGCAGTCTGACTGTAGGCACTAATATTTCAAATGTGTATAAAGCACTATTTTGGCACTAGAACTAACAAATTACTTCTGTTGTTTGGGGTTTTTTTTCTTTTTTTAAAGCTTTTCACATGCAGCACAGATGCTTATGAGCTAAATTCTGTTCCAAAGTCTGACTGACTGCAGTGCATCCAAATAACATCTATGATACACCTTAGGCAACACTGCAATCTGGTTCTCTATACAGCAAGCTCAGTATTTTCCTGCATCGAAACACAGTCTAAAGAAGGAAAAGACTAGGTACTTAAGTAGGAACCAGAGAATGAGTTCTCAGTTACTCACCAGAGAAACATACTATTAAACTGCGTTATTCGTGAGCCGCCATTTAACTGGAATCATACAGTGCAGATGTCTGTAATGTATCTTCTTCTAGATGGCAGTAAGTTCCCAACATGTCATGCACCAATCCTAAGCTTTCTCACCAGCTCTATTCAGTGAATGATGCTGAGAAGCAGCTTACAATTTAATCTGGTTTCTGATGTGTAGGTGAATCATCACTGCAGGTAAGTATTCCAACTTGTGGGGCTTTTATGGCTAAATTATACCGCAATAAATAAAATCCAAGCACAGTGAATGGTGGTGTGTCAGTGTGTCACTTTCTGTCGGAAAACTCAGAATTGCTTCCTTCTTAGACCTTTATCACAATAACAGCAACAGTTCTGACACAGTAGTTCAGCAACCTCAGCTTACTTACTGAAGCTAGCTCCAGCAATGCTTCTATCAAGCTTAGATGATTAGAGAAATACAGAATTTCAAGTAGCTCTCAGAGCTCACTTTAAAACAAACTAGGAAATACCATCATGCTTTTGACAGACATACAGACATCCTGATGGCAGGTACTCATGATGTGCATGTGTGCCACCTCAAGCATGCTGAGCTCAGTTTGCCAAGTCTGCAATAAAGGTTTATTGAGGTTGGACTAAACATACTTTCACGTAAATACTGACGGAGTTGCTATTTATTAGATTGGATTGGACAGGAGAAAGCTATCTGGAGAAGAAAATTTTCCATAGTTAAATCCACATTTCTTCTGCAGCTCTAAGGCAGCCCATTGCACTGCTGCTGCCTGTACCTTAATTTGAATCAAGCAATCATAATCTTACCTCTTTCACTTGCCTTAAGTGTGCATCATTATCCCCATTTTCAGAGACAGGAGAATGGCACAGAGCATTAAGAACAAGGATGTCTAACTTGAGGGCTCCTACTTGAGTGGTTAACAGAGTTGTAACTGTCTGCCTACAAGTTATCAGAGAGCTCTGCCAATTTGCTTTTGCAAATTAGAACAAGTATTCAACCTGTTTACCAGGAACAATGATGACATTCATTTTGTTATTTAACTTTCATTTTAAATGACCATGAACTTTGAGGCAGGAGCAGTGCAGAGTATGACTGCTATCCCATTTGTCTTCCCAAAATGCCATGCTGTGGTCTCCAGCGTATCTTTCACCATCTGCAAGAGATTATGTGGGAGGCCAGCAGGCCACGGTTTGCATTTCAGCCTCTGCTCGTCCCGGCGCAGGTTTGTCCCACACGCTGGGTCACGCAGGTGTCTAATGCAAACATGGATGCGTCCCCGCGTACCGCATGTACCTTATGCAGAAAGCAAACGGTTCCTCGGCAAATGTACTTCTGACAGATCCAAACAGGATCCAAAACCTCAGTTTTGCTAAAACACCATCTTTGCTGTCGTTACGTGAGAATACGCCCAAACTGTTGCCCGCCCGTGGCCCCAGGACACACCATACGGCCCGAG